TCATCTCCTTTATCATCATCATCATCATCTTGACCACCTTCACTACCGTCAGCATCATTATCTCCGTCACACAGGTTAGCAACATAGAAGTAAGATATATCGAAAAGAAAACACAGCTGGACAATGGCCTCTCATACTCATATTGAATTCTGTGAAGGATGATCTAAAAGTTCCATAATATAGCCTACTTATATCACTCTAACTTGAGCAATAAAGCAATTGTTCACATTGTCATAGCAGATGGTTGTGTATTTCACTTTTGACTGATTGACTGTCTTCATAGCATTAACACTTTTAAATCATGTAAACATGAATTTCAAGATGGCAGAAAAAGGCGTGCTTTTAGTTTTGCCCTCCGTGCCTTGTTCAGATAGATCTGATAGATGTAATGGGAAGTATTTAAATATAACATTGAAATTGAAGTTTTCTCTTCTTCTTCTTCTTTTACAATACAGACATATTTCGTACTATGTGTGCTTGCGTGCAGTGTATATACAACTGCAGTGTGAACGTGCATTAAAATATCTAATATCGTTTTAAAATCGTCATCAATTAGTACGAAAGCATCACACTCCCTGCCTCCTTCTTAAAAATTCTCAAGTCAATTTACGTTGGCAACATTGCAATAGAGATTTAAAAATTGATGGATAACTGCCTTAATTCATCTAGGGCATGTAGGGCAACTCCTTTTCAGAAAGAAGATAAAGAAATTTCTCTAATTTACGCGAACTGCTGTTGTCGTGGGGTGTGGTCCATTGTGAAAATTATCACTTTCATTTTTGGCAAAATCAATTTGTTTTTATGTGACCTCTTTCTGACAAATCATTCACTAATAGTTATTCCACAGTACGTTATAATTTTGATTTTGGTTATCAAAACTAAAACTAAAATCATATTACTATTATCTAGGTTGATCTGAACAATCCCCTTGCCAGACCGAGAGTTCCACATGAGATACTTTTCGCAGTCGGGGGTTGGAGTGGAGGAAGTCCAACAAATGTCATTGAAACATATGACACTAGGGCAGACCGGTGGATCACTTGTGAAACTCTAGATCAAGGTTATTATACCTGTATTTTTTTTTTTTTTTTTTACTGACTCCATTCACACCCATTCATTACGTTCGTGCATGCATTCATTCACCCACTATTCATACATTGACTATGACACAAATTTGTAAAATAAGAATTTATTTGTTTATTCATAAAAGTCTATATAAAGCATGTATGTCTACACCCTTTTGATCAAGCAGCTTAACACTGTTCAAATATATTCTCAGATAATTGGTAAATTTGAAAAAGTACGGTAATTCATTTTCTAAAAAAGATTTGTATATGACATATTTCATAATTAGTATGCACAGATTTAGTTCTGCCCCTTTTTCTCTATTCCCGATAATACCTAATAAAATATCATTTTCAGTTAGATTTAATTCTTTATTTAGTTTTAGTTTCCACCATTCAATAAATTGCTTCCATATATCTTTTGTTATTCTACACTTCACCAGCAAGTGCTCCATGGTATGAGTATCATCACACCATGGACATTTGTCTGTCTGTGAAATGTTCATCATTTTTAATTTACGGTTGCACGCTAGTGTATTCGTAAGTATTTTGTACTGAAAGCTCCACATTTTAGTTTCATATGTAACCTTTTTTGCAAGTGTATAATAGTATTTCATGTCATTTTCATTTACATTGTTATTTTGTATCCACTTTTTTAGTGATGTGGGTTTCTCGATTTCTTTTTCAAGGATTTTGTTGTAAATAGCTTTACACGACAATTGACTAGGGTTAGGAACATTTTTCTTTGAAGGGTTGTTTTTCAATGTGCTATTTTTAAGAGTTTTCCATTTTTTGGGAATAGCACTGAGTATGCTGGCATACTTTAAAAAGTCTATAGGAATGTTGAATTTTCGTTCAAGTTCTGTCAGGGATAAATAGTTATTATCTCTGTCTAGGATGTCATAAATTGTTGCAATACCTGCTTGATGCCATGTTTTATAGTACACCATTTTATTATTGACTAAGATGTTTTTATTATTCCATATAACTTCATCTTTAACATCATTCCAATTATTGACATCATGATGGGTTACTTCAGCCCATGTTCTAAGCATTGCTAAGTAAAATTTGGGAATTGCTTTATAGTTTTCAAAATACTTTATGTCATAATTACACTGAGAGAGAAGACCAATTCCACCATGTGGTTCAATGAATAAACTTGGAATTTCTTTCCATGCTGACTGCCCTTTCTCTAACAATCGTTTTATCCATGTGCATTTTAGTGATTGATCCATAATATCATAATCTTTCATTTTTAACCCCCCTTGTTCAATTTCAGCAATAAGTGATTTTCTTTTTACTTTTGGTGGTTTCTTTTTCCACACAAATTCGAAAATAATTTTGTTTATTTCTTGTAAAATTTGGGGTGGTATATGCATAACTGAACTAACATATGTTAGCTGAGAAATACCTAAAGATTTAATAATTTGAATTCTACCTATTAGTGTTAAGTTTCTCATATTCCATAATTTTATTTTATTTTTCATTTCATCAATTTTCTTTTCAATATTCAATTTTGTTCTATCATCTATATCATAAGTAAATGTTATTCCCAAAGCTTTTACACTGGTTTTTGATTTAATTCCATTTATGTCTTGTTTGTTTCCTTTATCTCTTCCGATCCACATTATTTCAGTTTTGTCTTTGTTAATTTCTAAGCCAGAGCATTTACCAAACTTTTCCACTAATTCCACTATTATACCTGTATACTCTGTTGAAGAACTAAAATATTTATCATTTAGTTACAATCACAAAATCTGCTTTCTTTGTTTTAATTTTCCATTTGCCAGTTAGGTAAGAAGTTATACTTAAAAGAACTAATTTGTACCGGTTTAAGTTAGCCTATTTGTATTTGCAAAAGACCCAAAGATTAGTACTAAAATTAAAAAGAACTTGTCACGACGCCTGTGTTTTATTTTCTACTAATTTAGCCTGTACAGTAATATAAGAATCACTCAATCTTATGTCGCATATTGTAACGCATATCGCATATGCTCTTTTGATAGGCGTGTCAAATATAGGATTAAGGATGTGAAATTACCATTTATTGCAAGTGAACGTGAACTTTTGATTTAATTTAGGTCCACGGGCGTACCATGGGTGCGCCACTATCAACCAAGACATCTATATCATAGGAGGTTTTGATGGTATGGATTACTTCAACAGTGTCCGATGCTTCAGTCCATCTGAGAAACTTTGGAAAGAGGTAGCCCCAATGAATGCAAAGCGGTGCGTACTAGTTAAGTCTTAATAAGAGATTGCATTATCTATTTCTGAGATGTAGTCATATTTTAAGGCCGGAACCTACGCATTACATACTGACCAGCTACTAAGTTATGTTTAATGAATAAAGGTGACAAATTCAAGAAAACAAAAATTCTCAGCAAATCCGTCTACCGGAAGTGACCATGCTGAAACGGAGACATCATATTTTTAGTTGAAAGCCCATGATCCACTATTCAATCACTCAAATCTTAATTGTGAATCTTTTTTACGTACAATTCCAGGTGCTACGTTAGTGTAACCGTGTTGGACAATTATATTTATGCCATGGGTGGTTTTGATGGGCACGTGCGTCAAAATACAGCGGAACGTTACAATCCAATTACAAATCAATGGAGTCTCATTGCTCCCATGAACCAACAGCGCAGTGATGCAAGTGCAACTACATTAGAAGGTAATAGTTCGCACATTATGAACAACTCTGTTTTGAACCAAATATGTTATTTCAAATGAACAATTTAGATGCTATTCACTTTTTGTATTTTACCTAAATTATCCTCCCTATTTACATTTGCTTTACCTGGGATTCCAAGTACGACACAGCTTAGATTAGTGCTTTGTTTTTAAGGTAAAGTGTATATATGTGGAGGATTTAACGGCCAAGAATGCATGAGTTCTGCTGAGTGCTACGACCCAGAAACAAATCAATGGACTCTGATCCCGCCTATGAGGAACAGGCGTAGTGGGGTCGGGATAGTCGCACATAGTGGTGCTGTCGTCGCTCTTGGTGGGTTCAACGGTATAACCCGCATGAATACAGGCGAAAAGTTTTCTCCGCAGTCTAACCAATGGTCTTCAATTTGTGAGATGTATAATCCTCGGAGTAATTTTGCAGTTGAAGTACGTTTTTAAGTAATATACATTTCAGTGGGAGGTGGTATTGTGAATGGTTTTATCCATGATAACAATGAAAGAAAACAGAAGAAAAAATAATTAGATTCAATATTAAGTGCTCACTATTACTAGAGGATTTAAGCCCTGGACTCAGTGCATTGTTTGCTGAATCATACCATGAAGGTGTTGTTTCCAAACATTTGCATGGCCGCGCAGCTGGAAGGCAAAGTTTAGGAAAAACGCCTGAGTGGAATGAATCAGCTACAATGCACTGAGTCCAGGGCTTAAATTCTTTTCACACATTGCAATTTTTCTCATATCATCCAAAAGGAACGAAATCACTAAAATAACACATTTTTAATGAATATTTTGCACGGGTCAAGTTGGCAAGTCACCAAATCAAATGTAAAAAGTTCATTCATCACCATGACAACTGGTTGATTAGTGACCTTGCATGTGTTATTGATATTTCACACACTGTTCGTTATGTGAATACTCTGTTCTGATTGGCTGGAATCGGACACAACTTGCCTAGCTATGTGTAATGTATTTAACATTTTTCTAAGGTGATTGACGATCTAGTGTTTGCCATAGGTGGCTTCAATGGGGTAACAACCATATTCAACGTTGAGTGCTACGATGTTAACCAGGACGAATGGTATGTCTTAGTTTTGGATTGGATAATAGTTAAAGTGGACATGACAGGACGCAAATTCGAAACAATTTATTTTTCTTTTAGAATATTAAGTATGTTTATTTTTAGTTAAAAAATCGTTTATAATCTAAATATAAAAGACTGACAACGAACGTTCAAAAATAAAACATGTTTTTCCGCGTATTTAGGTAGGACGTAAACCTATATATATGGTGTTCCACATTGCTAACTTTCGCTTTACTCGGGGTTACCCTAATAGATTTTGTAACACTGTTAACCTGCCATCTATATTTCTATAACTAGAATATTTCTTTGAATGTCAGCCGAACAGAAAAAGTAAACAGGTTCAGAACTCATTGTCATAAAACCCATCTGCCTATGATTTTACACAATTGAAAATATACACCTATTCTTTTTATATAAAACTCTTAATAGACTTGACATGGCTATCGGACCTAATTTTCAGCAGACTTCCGCATCTTCAATGAGGTCAGCAGCCCATTGATTAGATAATATATTACAGTATTACGCCTATACGAAGTCCAGGATTTCAAGCTTTTGGAGAGGATTGTATATTATTCCTATCTAAATACACCCATCGATTTGGTTTTCCAGGTATGATGCTACTGACATGAATATTTACCGCAGTGCGCTGAGTGCGTGTGTCGTATCCGGACTACCAAACGTCAGGGACTATATTCACTCCACGAGGAACGAGAATGACACCAAGAAGAGAAAGACAGCTGCAACTACGACATCCACTCAAGATGCAGATCAGGACCAGGGCGTTACAACATAATTTAGAAACAATCAGAAACTACATTATGAACAGTAGTAATTGTTGACATCAATTCTGTCAATCAGATGATTATGAATAAACTATGAATGCAAAATATTTTTATTCTATGTTCACATTGTATATTTTGAAACCAATAATAAAGTGGTTATCGGTCACATCGCCATTGCTTCAAACTTTGCTTTAAGTCTCATACGAGCGTCAAGTAAGTAAATCATATCGTCATTATCTTTGACAAGCTTTGCAATATCAAGGGGAGTACGTTCTTCAGAATCTACAGCCAATAGGTCGGCCCCCTCATCCATTAGGATATCTGCGATCTCCAGTTCCCCAGTCCCAGCACAACAATGTAGAGCCGTTTGTTTAAAACACCCGCGTGAGTTTACTTTGGATTCGTGGGACAACAGAAGTCGCACAATAGTGGCATTTTCAACCTTAGTTGCTTTGTGTAGAGGATATTCGTATCGACTCTGGAGGTTTACATTCGCACCTTTATCTAAAAGCATTTTTATGATATTTATGTTCTCTTTTTCTATGGCTATCATAAGAGGAGAAATACACGCCCTTCCCATCCTAACATCGACGTTAGAGGAGTTTTCCAGCAAAATTTTCACGATGTCCTTCTGACCAAACATGCATGCTCGGTGTAATGGCACACTACCTCGTTTGTCTTTTCTATTCACAACGGCATCGTGAGATATCAAACAAGACAAAGACTTTTGCAGTCCTTTTGAAGCAGCGATATGCAAAGGGGTTGAACTATTTGGAGCAGATGCTATATTAACATCGACTCCCCGTTCGATTAACATCTTTGCAATGGCTTCCTCTTTGTGGATTAGAGCTATGTGGAGCGGGGCCCTTCCGTCGGAGTCAAGCACATTAAGACCAGTCTGTGCAACGCAAAGTTCCTCCACAGAACCCAAATGACCACCTTTAACCGCCATGTGGAGAGCATTTTGTCCATTTTCGTTCAGCATTTCCACCCTCACACTTCGTTTTACTAGCATCCGTATAATTTCGGTATTCCCCTTTGTTGCGGCTATATGTAGACAAGTCCTCCCCTTGTGATCTTCAATGTTTAAAAGAGTCCCCTTTCTATTCATAATTTTTCTTGCCATTGACATATATCCCTTCTGCAGTGCAATGTGCAGTGCTGTTTGTCCCTCATCGTTTTGGACATTCATTTTGAGATCCATTCTCATGAAAGCTTCACTAAGCTCTTCATATCCTCGCTCCACTGAAATATGTATGGGATACATTCCAGTCAGATCCGGCTCATTCACATCAGCTTCACGGAGAATCAAAAATCTAGAAAATTGAATCACCTTATCTTGGGATTTCTTATTCCATTCTGATTTCAATCCACTCATCAACGGTGTCTCTCCTGTCAGTGTCTTAGCGTTCACAATCGCTCCATTTGCAATAAGGTTTTCAGCAGTTTTCTTGAGACCGAATTTCGCCGCCAAGTGCAATGTAGTTTCGCCGTCATAATTTGCTGTGTTGGGGTCTGCTCCTAAACCCAGCAGAGTCTGAATAGTGGCAGATCGTGCGCTCAATCCTGCCATGTACAATGGACAGCGTCCGTCAAGATCCTGTACGTTCAGTTCACCTCCCTTGCGCACTAGGTATCCCAGTATGTCGTCCAGTCCCTGGGAAGCAGCAATGTGTAAAGATGTTCGAAGCCATGAGTCTTGTTGGTTCACATTGGCTCCCAGGTTTAACAGAAGCTCAATGCAAGAAAAATGTCCTCCAAATGTTGCTAAGTGTAATGGTGCCATAGAGAGCTCTATATCGTCCGTTTTTACATTCAACCTTGGGTGTCCATTCATAAAATCGCACTCCGAGCTTATTCCAAATTGATTGTTCGTCACCTCAAGAAGTGTTTTCAACATGCCTAACCGGCCCGTAGCTGCAGCAACGTGGAGGCTGGTACCAACTGGGCGTATATTCTCAAGACAGATCTCGATTGCATGTTCTTTGAAACGCTCAAGTATTAAATTGAACATTGACTCCGCGTTGTCTTTAATAGCAACGTGGAGCTTTGCAGCTAACTCCGACACATTAATGGCGTCGTCGTCTGCCATCCCGTATGGTACTGCTTAATGTCTATATCCCTGTGTCATTTGTTTATTTCACTGGTGTCAGCTCTGTAATAAAATAAAGAACAAGCATTTTCGAAGGTAAATCATATTTATCAAAAGAAACGACATTACGACATACTCTGAATTATTTTAACGTTAAAATATCGTTTATATAGTTTGCAAAACGTATTTACACAAGTGTGAATATATGGTGACGAAGGTGAATTTTGAATGAAATTTCACGATTAATAGTATAAACCGTACAGATAACTTTTTTAATCAAAAAATAATAATTTAGAAATTATGGCATTACCAGTGCGTTGATCTTTGAGAATCCTCGTTATTTAAAAGAATTAAAACTTTGAAAACAAAATCGACAATCAGTTTTATTTTTGAATGGGTACAAATGTAATCTGAGTTGCCTTCTTTTAATAGCTTCAGTGCCTTTGCTAAGCGTTTAAATATCAATATAAAGTAAACTAATATTTACTGATGAATTGTTTGCTTTAACAGAATGCAAAACTCGTAAAAAGGTCAACTTCAAGTAGGAAAAGATACCCGTATTTTTTTAGAATTTGACAGTTTGGTTTGATCTATATTGTGTATATTTACAACATGAGATTTACAAGGAGCAAATGTTTTGAGCTTAACCTAGCAAAAACAACTTACCTAGATGATGAATGCGTATCTCCCATCCTAATGTACGTAAATAAGCCACATGTGCTTTTCTGATTTGTTTAAAAATCTGTCCAATATCTCAACTTTAGGTCTACCGTCCGTACTTAGGGTTTATATCTAGTTTACTAGGCAAACGAATATGTATGTTTCGTACAGCAATGAAACATTTACGTTTCAGTTCAATTTGCAGGAAACAACCATATTTATTCTTCAAACAATTATAAAACCCACTGTTTGCCAATGTACATTGTACAATGGTATAATATCCAAATGAAATTCAGAATCGATATTTGTAAAGATGGCGCTAAGAAATATACATTTACTAGAATTGGAGATACACGGAGATCTACTAACCGACTTTATTCTTCCCAGGGTTGTATTATGTTTATAAAACCGGATCTTTTGCAACAAAAACAAAAGAGTGTTCAAATTACTTTTGGAACATAGTAACATGTCTCTTTTGAAGGAGTGATATTTATTAAGGTTCATGGGCGTAGCCAGGGGGGGTGCGATGGGTGCGATCGCACCCCCCCCCATAACCTTTGAAAATATGACCATTGGATAGAGGTAGAAAAGAGCTTTAAAATGCTTTTTATTTGAAGCTTCTAGCTCAATTTTGAAGGAAGTTGCATCAATTTTTGTAAAATTCAAAAGAAATCTTAATTTTTTGTGTTGCTTATGGCAAAATCGCACCCCCCCCTGACCGAAAACTGAAAAATTTTCGGCGATCGCACCCCCCCTGACTGAAAGCTGGCTACGCCCCTGAAGGTTGCTATAACTCTTGGAAGCCCATCATAGTCCATGGACCTCTATACCCAGAGAGTCTCAATTCATAAACAACGAATAAGGAACTAGGGTAAACTTTATAGGCAGACTAATAATATTGGTCCTCTGTAAAATCAACCAAGCAAATCGTGTTTTCAAAATCAGGGACTGCAATGCATTAGGAAACCAACAAATTATAAGTTAACTAGTCTGTCTAAGAAACATAATAGAGGTACATGTAACTAACATTTTCAGAACGTCCTCGGTTTGGCTAAAATCTCCTGTTCAAGAACACCTATAATGCTAGATCAATAGACTAGGTGCGAGCTGAAATAATCTTGATTTACGTCATTATAAATATTCAAAATTCAGTCAAAGTGATGTCACATTTGAAAAGGTATCTATGTAAAGGTTCATCTAGAAATATATGGTTTCGAAAATTGTTTATCAACTTTGAAAATTTGATTTTTTGAAAATGTGACTTCTTGTACGGGTCGATTCCCCATAGACCCCATGTTACAAATTCACAAAAAGTTAAATATATTTTCTTGTATTGGACAGATAACATTTTCTTTTATTGGACATATTTTAATTAACATAACTATTGGATACAGGGTTGTATGAAATTTGAACCACTAAAACAGAAAAGGGAACTTTCTACTATACCCGCCATGCTATTTGACCCGAACGAGCCACCTGTTGGTGATGTACAAATTAATGGATAGTGCCCAAATTACTGAAACTCTTGGGAAAGTAGAGGGGGCGAACTTTTGCATGATGAAGTTGTGCTCCCTTCCTAACATCAATATTTCATTGAGCCCGAGGGATATATGCGAAGCCTGGGGTCAAATTCAGTTTTAATCAAATCTAGTGAATTTGTAGTAGAACTAGGTGTAGGTCACTTCCAACTGACGTTATGCAATAAATAGGTATGTACCAAAATAGTACACTCGAAAATGACACATGTTCTCATTATATGGAATCCAGGCCATTTAATATCAATTAGTTATTTTTTATCTAGGGTCTAATTTGCAACAATTCACCCTGGTTTGAAGAGTTCGTAGAAATTCAGATGTTATTGATGGGATGTGGTTAAGGAGTATTCTATAATTGATCTTTATTTGGCGGGAAGGTACTAAAGCTAGTCTCAGTACAAGGTTGAAAAGCCTCTGGAAAGGGGTTTTATCATGCATGGGTACCAATGATGCTCAAAATGGCTTAAAGGTCAACTCGTCCTGTTAGAAGTATCATTGATCTAACAGAGCAAAACAAAACATCCGGAAAAGTGGCTTTGAACGCATTATCCCATCTGCTGAATGGCTATTCCATAGGCAGTGGCAGATACAGCGATAACATCAACAAGGGTACACCGTAAATCTCCAAGTTGAACACGCATGCCTGAAAGAGACGTAACAGTGCAAGAGACCAGCCAGACGATTTAAATTAAAATCAGATAAGTTGATACCAATACACCAGCAGATAATTACGGACATGCAACGAGAACGCACGCCAACCTATGTTAATAACATGCATAGCTAGGTACTGTCATACCATTAGATTTGATTGGTGCATTCACTTTGAAACTGGAAAAACAATTTTGCATTAGTCAACAAACAATTGAGCACCAATCGACAAACTAAAAGTATACATTTGTTTATACGATATGGAGTCCTCCCTCAAAGTAACATTTCTTTGTATTAGTATGTTGCAACTTGCGAGAACCTCGCCTGTCATGCTTGAACATTCAGAAACCACAAACGAGAAAGAAAACAACTCAAATGGACTTTTTGGAATATCTAGAGAAAGGTAAGCAAAACCGTTGAACTTAAATTTTAATAAAAAAAACACATCTAACACATTTGTTACGTTTAAGTGCATGGGCGAAAGGAAATTTAAAATTGTAAAGAAAGCTGGCCAAAGATGATATATTATTCGTTGTGTGTTCATGGTTCAAACGTATATAAAGATCGTTTTACAATCTTGCCTTGAATTCATCATTTCAGTTTTTAAAAAAATTATATGCTCCACATCCTTCATTTTAAAATGATGGGGATACTAGAATGAAATCGACTTTACAACATGTTAAAATGTATTTGTTATTACAATGGGTTTTCAATTGAATGTCCATGTAATTAATTTACTAACGGACTTCTATCTCGAGGTTGAGAGATAGAGGCACACAAATTTCGTCACGAATACACTTATAAAAGGGAAAAAAGAAAGCAAGTTTGGGATGGGCAAGTACCGTTAAACATACGTTTAATTTTAAACAGCTTTGGTTTATTGTTGAACATTTTTAAGCCAGATCAATCAAGATTCAGAAATCCGTCTTACAGCCATTATACCAGCTAATATTGTTTTGATTTGGAAAAGAGTTTTTCTGGGTAGAACTATTAGTGCCAAAGTGGTGATTTTTTATTATGCAATATTTACACGAGGGTGATCATAATTTTCTCATAATGCAACCACTAAATTAACAGAACTGTTATGCTTTAACGTTTTTTGACAAATACGACATTCTATGCTGTACATTGTGAACACTTTTTGAGAATTAATAGAAAATAACGGAATTAGAGAGATATTGTGAGAACTTATGGTCTCTTCTGATATACATAGTACCCCGGACAACCACTTGATAGCTATGTTATATTTTCGGCCATCCATTACAAACTTATTTGGAAATACTCTGATATTGAACCGAACGTTGTCTAATCGTTTGTGACACAGTTGCTGGATTTACACTAGCGCCCTGAGACGTCTTGGCTAAAACGTTTTAGCGTTAAAACGTTTTACAAATGTAATTCAAATCCAGATTTTCTCAAGAGCTCACGGCTAAGAGCGCTTAGCTAAAACGTTTTAGGACCCTAGTCATAGCCAAGACGTCCTAGCGTTAAAACATTTTACAAGCGAGTGTAAATCCATCGGTTTTAGCTAAGAGCTCTTGGCCCGGTTTTTTGCGTTGCGCCGAACGAAACATTTGAAACTTTCCATTTACATATGTCGCATATGCATGGTCGTTTTACCTTATCCCTTGTTCCCAATATCATCCCAAAATTATTGAGAAGAACCTATTTGCCTGGCGATTCATCATAATCCTAATTTATGCATAAAATCTTCCTGCTCTCTTTCATGCCTTTAACAATGCTGTCTTTAGGACATATTTTGTAAAACCGATGCATTCTTTAGTACAAAGTATAGAAGCGGGAAAGGAATAGCTATATTGACTGAACCGTCCTTCAACCAGTACTGAACTGCTTTTTTCATTTTACATGTATACCTATACATATCTCTTAGAGGTTTCAGAAAAACAGGTGTAAACTCAAATATATTTCGTAAGACGTCTTGAAAATGGTGGTGTAAACTCAACATAATTTTTCTAGAACGTTTTAGCCAAGACGTCTTGGAATGCCGCGTGTAGTGTAAATAGGGCCTGAAAGTCCTAAATTAGATATCATTAATTAATATGTCAACACCAGCCTTATTGTCTTGTGTTCAAATTGTGATACAATCATTTTTATTGATACATTTTATCAATTACCTGGTGCCAAAAGTATGTTAATAATCAGTGGAATCACTTTGAACAAAAATTGTTCACCAGTAGACTTTCTACCTACCTTGTAGGTTTTGAAATTTGTTAATTTTAGCGTCTTAAACAGACTTTGATGTTTTGCTACTAATTATTTCTTATCATGTTTGAAACGTAAATAGGCAGACCAATCAACTAAACGTCAATAGAATCTGCGTAATCATTTACAGAGGCGTGACGCACTATGCGGATTTTAAATTAAAAATAAAATAACACCAGCCTAACCACGATAAGATAATTCAGAGCACCTACTTTAATTTATCCACTTATTTTCAAAATAAGCCCGCTAGACTAGACTAGATAAAGAAGCCTTTAAGTGAGTCGCTAAAATAGGTCGCCTACTTTGTATAGGAAAATGAATGTCGAGTACTTTGCTTTGTCTATATTGTCTATAATCTACTCAGCCTAATCAGTCCAGGAAACAACCTGGAATCTGTGGAAGTATTGTTTTAACACCAGCTTTGTAAAACGTTTGAACCTCAGAATAACACTTACCCGGTAAAGGTGGGAATAAATTAAAAATTGAAGTCAGTGAAAACATCAAATTAATTAATAGCATTTTCAGAAAAATATTCTGAATTTTATTTTTAACCATTGTTGTTTATATACGAAAATCCCAAAGTGACGACATTTGCTCAAAGGAAATATTTGCCCCATGACCACTGTCCCAGCTAGTTGCTTCGACGTAACTTCAAAGTAGCATTTATGGAGGAACTATCTATGTTTGAGTTCGGTAACTTTCTTGATTTAAAACCTATACTCGATTTAAAGTAATTTGCAGATCGTGATTTGGCTCGAATTTAGAGAATATGGTCTAGAGAATATAATTTAAGAAAATACACGTGGTTTGGAATTGAAATTGTAGTTTTACTTCGTCGCTACATTTCATTTCTAAACTATCTAGAACCTCTCAAACGCCAATTTAAGAAGAAAAACTCATTTTTTCAAAAAAACTAAAAACTGAATTATAACAGTTTGAGCTGTTCAATCAATTGTTGGAATGTTAAGAAATTATCGACTCATTATGTTGCGACGTACTTGATAGTAGGGGCACCTCTGCGTAGAATAGTTGATGTTTCTATGATGAAGAAATGCTCATTAGACTACATACACGAAATAAGTGAGTGCTTGATTTGGCGCCAAAAGTAATGACAAATTACGTCGTACGCTCCCGGCGTACACTGAACCCGTACGGCGTGAAGAGAATGGGATGTGATGCTTTTGTTACATTGACGTAAGTCTTCAAATTAACATTGGTGTAGATGTTTGTCAGTGTAACAAAAGTGAAGGACTAAGTATATGGATTACGACTTCTAAATAAAAACAAATTCCAAACCGAAAGTACGTTCTAAACTAAACTATATTCTTTAACCTCGAGCCAAACTATAGTCTGAAACTTGACGCCTAAGTTAGTAGTTTTAAGTTGAGAAATTTAGAAATATTGCCAAACTCTAATTTAGGAAGTTCCTCAATTTCGTTTCTTTGACACGTTGACGGACGTTGCCAGTTGGGAACAGTGATGACGGAAGGACACCTGTTGAATTCCATATCGCATACGTACTTTGTAGTCGCCATTGATGATATCGTTAACTGGGGTTTTGCATTCTCAAGGTGTGCATGCTAGCAGAGCAAAGCAGAGTGACGGTTATATAATGTAGGTCGACGAGGTCACATTTTCTGTGGGGGTCAGGGTCAATTCAATACGTCATAACAATGTCATAAGGGTAATTTGTTGAAGCCCCTATTGAGAGCCCGCCTATATACTTCATCGCAATTAGAACCCTAATTGTGTAGAGAATGTCAATAATAGACGGATGTTATTGTTGTGAAGCAAAATAGCAGGAAAAAGACGAGCATAAACTACTCCGCATGACGATTATCACATGTGGAAGATTCGGAGGGAAAGATTGCAACCAGATGCGTTCGGAAAAATACAAAAACAACTTGCAAGATGTTTGGCATCTCTCAACATTCTGATTTCAAGGACGAGTGCATTATTTTTAGAATCAATAAGTGTTCTCAGACGTATAGCGTAGTAAATACCTGGGAATTCACCTTGCAAAGTGGTTAAAATGAAAATTGTACCTTGATGGAATTATTAAAACTAAATTGAACTTAGGTCCGCGCTGCATCCGTACAAGCTTTACGAGGGTGATGTACATTTATACTGGCAAAGGTTCAAAAACATTCTTGGTAAAAAGGTTATGATATGAGACAAGAAGATACTTGTTCTTGAGTGTAGAGCGATTTATCATCAGCTAGTATATCTGTAATTCACTTTCTGATCTCCATATCAATTGTTTCCTCGATTAGGCCTATAATAACGCTAAACGCACAGAGAATCAAAAAGTAGTTTCTGCCCTTGCATCCAGTATGGAAACGAGACAAATGCAACAGAGAGGTTTCTCCAAAGTACTGCTTTGATAAACTAAACTAAACTACACTTCTGTGTATTATTTGCAATCGATGCGTTACGAATACGGACAGTGTACTTTTAGGATAAAAGGTATGCGGAACTAACTCGTTCTCTATTGATGAACCACTTTTGCCAAATGGTCACCGTTTGAGGTCCGTTTAAGGTATCATTTTGTAGTTTACTTTATGTTCCCGTGTACCCACGTCATCTAAATCAACTGGATGTAAGGGATTGGCAATTCTCCATAACTTATCTATAGTCCAGAAATCGGACATAAATACTGTGAGATTTATTACTTAAGGAAATAGAGAATGTTCAATAAAACACTGTCAATAACACATTAATGACTCGTGTTAGCAGGAACAGATATGCAGGTTAATAGGATAATTAGTGCACTTTAATGAAACTCAAACCAAAGTTTAACGTAAAATGTTGACAATACCCAATAGAATCTTCTGTTCTGTTTTTCATCTTTACGTGCACTGCCTGATTTTAGTGAAGCCTTGCGAAGCTACGGCTAGGGTTGAACTGATGGCATTCCGCGTATTCCCTATTTTTAAATACCTCCAAGGCACTTTTGTAGCTTCTATTACAAGCCTCATAGTTCATCTATTTGATACCCAGGTCCTGGAGCAGATCAATGAAGACTGCTGCAGATAGATCACGCGTCAGGTTTACGTTATTCGATTAGTAGGGGGTTTTAAGAGAATTTGTTCTTTGTACGTGAACGTGTAATATTATGGCCCCGTGTATTACGGCCCGTTCTCAATTGGTTTTCTAGGGATCTAACAACAACTATTGCCT